CCTTGTCTCATAAATGTTGAATGAAAAATAAGATATTTGATAAATATTTAAAGTAACAAAAATTACCATTTTTATCTAATGTTTTAAATAAAAATAAAGTGTTTGATAAATAATTAAAATAACATAATAATTTAAATTCAACAAGATTATAATATAATAAACAATAATATAAATTCATTTAAAACAATAAAATATTATTGTTTGAATACTGTTTTTAATTGATGAATGTGAATAAACTATATATTTTCTTAATAAAATGCATGATTAAAAATTGTAGGACATGTGTAATTTTGGAAAAAAAAAAACTAACTTAATGATATAATAACTTAATATATTAAGTTAAAATCAAACACTTTAATATAATTTAATCAATTAAACTAATTATTTATTAAGTTTGAAAGAAAATACGCTTCTACTCGCTCTAAAATTAAATAACCACAAAAGTGGTGTCTGATTGGTTTGAGTTTGGCTCCAAATATCAAAAATATCAGGAGGTCCCAAGTTCAAATCCAAGAAGGTATAAAAATCTTCTTGTGGTCATGAAAGTTCAAATACGGTAACTCCGAGATATCTGCAAAACAGGTGATCATCTTAAGATTAGTCGACTCGCAAAGCGAGTTGGATATCGAAGTTAATAATAATAAAAATTTACCAATTGCCATGTACATGTGCCATCATGGGTGTCAGTGAATTATGATCATATATTATAAATAACAATAAAAATAATAACAAAAAATAAAACAAATAAATGGTACATCAGTATTCATTTTCATTTAAACATGCATGGTTGTTGGAATAAAGCCCAAAACGGGTCCTTTCATTTCCAAGCTTCTTGGTTCAATTGCTGATAGGGCCGCTTTTTTTCCCTTTCGTTTTTATTCCCGATATTATTATATTTTTCTTAGGCCTCATTATTGAAAAAACAAATTAATATTATATATTATATATTTATTAAACAACTGATTAAAGGTACGCTCATCAAATTATTAGAGAATAAAACCTGTAAGCAAAAATTATCACCATCAATTACCTTATCAATTAACATTTTTAATAATCAAAATAGTATGTAGTAGACATCTTTTATTAAGATTTTTGCTTCGGTTAATATGACTGCTTTATCAGTGTTTTAAACGACACGTCGTGGTAGGGGTCATGACACAAGACACGTTTATGATGTCACGGTAAACCCTAGGGGTGGACTTGGTACAGTACCGACTTTTTTCTGCCAATACTGTCTACCAATCAGCTATAATTGGTAGGGCTGATACCAAGGGCAGATCCAAGCTTTAAACACTGGAGGGAGGGAAGGCCCTCAGTTAAAAATCAAAAACCTTTGTTGACTAGCTTAAATTTTCTATTTCCACCCTCGTTTTATATGGTTTTCCCCCAGTCCCATATGCCTATATGCTTCCCTTCCTCAAGTCCCATCCAACGCGCCTCCACCTCATTAAATTCCTAGATCCGTCATTGTCTGGTACACATGTTCGCTGATTTAGTTTGGTACAAAATTGCCACCCCTAGTAAACTTGTAAAAGATGGCTCATAAAAGATGCCATGTGACAAAGATTTTTTTTTTAATAAGCATAGCTGTTTTATTTTAATTTTTCTTATTGTTTTAAATTTTGTTTACCTTGTGTATTTCACACTTTTGGTTTTACACTATTTACATAACTAGCTCACTCACAAAATCATGGATTCACACACATAGAAGCACTCACAGATTTACGATTAAAAACGAAGTTGTAAAATTCTTCCATTTAAATTTGAACATATGATCATTTATTCTTTATACAGTATCACTATATATGATTTTATACCCTACATGTGGTGAGCTCCTTACACTGTAGCCACATTATTTTATATCATTTGTTTTAGTAACAATTAGAAAATGTAAATAACAACCGTAGAGCCATTGTCTAGATAGTCAAAAATCGGCTCTAGTTCAAGGCAGGTCGGTCCAAATTGGTCCCATGACCATGACGAACCAGACCCCGGTTCGAGACCAAGCGGAACCCAAATTGACTATCTCTATCATGGTCCATTAATTTTTTATGCAGTATTTAAGCCTATTAACTTGCGAAATGGGCCACAGGTTCCATTTTAGCGTTTTACACGTAGTTTCAATTTCTAAGACTAAATTTTTATCACGGTCCATTAACCTATGAAATTGGTAGTGATTTAAACGAAGTTAAGCCCAATATATGGTGATGACCCATTAGTCTGCCGAATGGACCAGACTCCAGAGGTTCAAAAACAAAATGGTTGAATTTGATTATTAATTTGTCATTTTTAAATAATTAAATCGACATCAGTTTATATAATGAAATTTGGTGGAATCGAAGTTTACTAAGAGAAAGAATTTGAAGGAATTGGAATAAAATTTAATGAAGTTTGAGTAAGTATCTGATCAGCAGGAATTGGAATTTGTATATTTGGTTAGTAGAATATAATTTCGGCATCGAAATGAAATAATAAGAAATGACCAAAATAGCATATGTTCATAATTTCTTGCTCAAATTATAAATATAATATAATGATAAAATTAATGACAATATAAATACATCAAGGCTGTAACCTATGTAATTTAAGTTCATTTCATGTGAAAACGAGATAGCTGAATGAAATTTGATCAACGGAAGTAATCATCCCAACTTATTTCAGATTCCATAAAAATCCTGTGAATCAATCAAAGACCTACGTGGTCGGCTTGAATTTAAAGCTCTTGTTTATTGCACTTCACGAGATGAAAGCATTTCTTTTTTGTTTAAAAGGTATCGTGGTGTAATAGTATTTGTGATATGTCTTAAATAATGGGATAAAAATGTATTTGACAGAGTTCCTGTTTGATTCTAAAAAATAAAAATTCTATTTTTTTGAATTTAGACTATTGATCTTGTGAGTTGTGACACTCATGTGATTATTAATAAAATCATGTAATTTTGTATATTTTTATAGCAAAACATTAAAAATCAAGTTTACAAATTAGATTTGGATTTCCTAAAATTATTTTCTTATTCATTCAATGATTTTTATGACATAAGTAGAAAACCAGTTACATTGCCGTTTATTCTTCTTGTGATATGCATAACAATTACAGATTTAACCAAAGTGTGGTGTTCGATTGGTTTGAGTGTGTACTTGAAAGTCAAAAGTGTCTGACGGTCTCAAGTTCGAATTCGAGGAGGAACAAAAATTCTCTTATGACCATTGAGATTCAAATGCGGTGACTCCCGGCTACCCACGAAGCGGGTAGTCGCCCTAAGACGAGTCAACTCGTATAACAAGTTAGATATCCAGGTTAATTAAAAAAAGAAATTATATATTCATTTTTAAACAAAGGCAACAACATTGTTTTTTAATCTTTCTTCTTAAATATGTTGAATTTTATAAGAAAAAAGGTCAGGCCTTATAAACAAGGGCGGATCCAATTTATTAGAGACAATGACACATAATATTGTTATGTTTCTCCGTTGTAAGTTAAAAAAATTAGGCTTGTAAAATATACAATCGTGTTATAATGTTGGGTGTCACTAAACATATATTTTAAAAACTGCAATAATAAGGCATACTTGTGTTTGACAGAGTTGGTTTGGACGACTTTTCTCTCATCCCAGGCACGGGTTCAAATCCGTTTCAATCATTTTATTAGTTTTTAACTGTTAATTCCAGGTTTATTACGTTTATGAAAAAAATTGCAAAAAAAAAAAAGCTCCAACACAAGACATCACATACGAAAAGTAAATAACTAAACAATAGACCAATGATTATTTTTTGAAAAATATTCATAATTTCGTTTTTTATAGTTAAATTATGTCATCAATCAGAAAAATTTATAGGTCTGCCTTTGCAAAGATGACAAGGGATCCCAAATACAAGGGTGTTAGGTTTCGAGGAGCCAAAGTTTAAAGGCGATGATCTAGTTATTATTTCTAGACATTATATTTACGTGTAATTTTTTTTTTGTTAACATTTGTGAATCAAGTTGTTGTTCCCTTTTAATCGAATATGGATAAAGTACTACCAACATTAACATGTTTTAAAAATACATGGTTGTTTATTACATACTGTTATTAGCATATGTACTTCCATAATAAAAATAGAATTCAAAATTAAATAACATGTGTTTTTATAAATATATGCTGACTTTATCATATATCCTTTGATTAAATATGTTCTAATTCGTTGTTGTACCAATATGGAGCTAGACAATTCTCGTGCGACCTTAAAGTCATTTATGAGCTCACATACATTTTGACAAGTTCAACAACTTACATGGTTGGACTCGCATAAACCGGTCAACATGACTACACATTCGACTTATGAACTTGCATTGCCTACCCAGCACAACTTAGCTAACGAGCTTAAAATTGGACCCCACTTTGTCTTTGCGAGCTCGGCTACACAACATATGAAATCTTGTTCAGGCTCAAGTTCAACATACTTGACATGTTTTGTCATCTATGCGAACAGTAACCTAACACATTTCTAGGCCAGTTTCTGTAATATTGATCATTTATTCACTGATAATATCCATTACCATGTCATGACATACTAAAATTTCAAATTGACTGATAGATATAAAAAATAATAACTATAAAAAAATTGAGAACTATGATAAACACCGATCATATATTGATTTATATTATAAAATAATACATGTGACATAATACAATACTATTTCATAATATAAAACAAAAATAGGAAAAATATATATTAAAAGTAATTAAAATGTAAAACAACGTTATTTTGTTCACATACATTATTATTATTTTTACAATATAAAATGAACAAAAAAAATTAGTTTTTATGTTTATCAACACCTTTTTATGACTTTGATTTAATTTGACGTCGTACGTGTTACAGAAATAGTGAGCAGCTTAAACCCAAGGTGCTGACTTTGTTATTCCGATCAAAAACCGACGTCCACTCACAACTTGACACTTGTAAAACCCGCACGTGTCTCTGGCCCTCCAAAAGAAGCTTCCAAAAAAAACCCCAACACACTTACGAGCCCTAATCTCTCTCGCCAGCTACTAACCTCGCTCGCTCGCTCGATCAATCACGTCTTTCTGATCCATTTCAATTTCTGTAAAATTCAACTCCAAAGTCAACTTCCTTATTTGATTAATCAGGTCAGCTTACTGTTTTTTGTTTTTTTTTTTTTTAATTTTAGTTTTATCGAATCTTAACTTCCGTTCCATTGCTCGATTTTTTTCTTCAATTCGCGTTTCTGGAATGACATTCGATCATGGGGTTTGTGTCTTTGCTTGTAACTGTTATTTGTTTGATTCTTGGTTAGTTTGATTTTAAGTTGATTGAATCTGGCAGGCACTCCCCAATTGTATGATTTGTTATATTGTGGCACGATTAATAAGATTGGATGATGAATTCGATTCAGTGTTTTTTATTAAGTTGATTTTATGTAGATTTCGTTGTCTTTCGCAGAAATTCACAGGCCAGACAGATTCTAACTAGATAGTACAGTTGACTTTTGCTTACTGGAGTCAAAGTGCAAAGTTTACTTTTTTTGGGGATGTGGGTGGTGATTTATTTTGGGAAATATTCTCTTTCTCTTAAATGAGTGAAGATGTTTTGATGATTGTGGGATATTGAAGAAATAACAAAAATGCCAGCCGTTCGGCATTGTTCTAGAATTGATACTTTTGAGTTGAAAGTTCAGATGGAAAGGAGGCTTGGTGCACAAAAGGCGGAGAAGTACTTCAATCTGCTTACAAGATATTTGAGTCTTAAGCTCGGAAAATCAGAATTTGATAAGCTTTGCATCCGTTTGATTGGTAGAGAGAATGTTCGTCATCACAATGAACTTATACGGGCAATTGTAAAAAATGCCACTGTTTCCAAGACACCGCCTCCGAAGCAAGTCAAACGGGACACTCCAGTGGCTTTGAAAGATCCTAACGTCATAGATGCAAGAAATGGCCTTCAGTCTCTCTGCAGAGAAGTATTCCCTCAGTCTCCCAGAAAAGGAAGGACTCCGAATCTACGTGAAAGAAAGTTTAAAGATAGACCGAGTCCTCTTGGACTTAATGAGAAGACTCATAGGACTGAAGATTTGGCAACGACAAAGGTTCAAGAACAACAAAGTGCTACCGATCTAATTTCTTTAGGTAGCAAGCCACCGATTGAAGTTAATTCTGTGGAAGATGGGGAAGAAGTTGAGCAGGATGCATTAAGCACCACTATTAATAGAAGAATCTCGGTTACAGCTCCATTTGGCATTAGAATACATGCAAAGGAAACACGAAAAGTGTTTTCTAATGTTTCAAGTTCCGCTTATCACTCCGAGACTTGTCATTACAGTGGTCAGTTGCCGCCTACTAAGTCTTTGGAGAACAGATTGAAGAAGAAGTTGAAAATGGAGGGTTTGGATGTATCTATGGATTCTGTCAATCTATTGAATAGTGGACTGGATTCTTATTTGAAGAGGGTTATAAAACTAAGTCTGGAGTTAGCTGGCTCAAGGTCTACACACAAGCCAAGCAGAAGATTCACAACATCAATGTTAGATTTTCGGGTGGCAACAGAGACCAACCCCAAGATACTTGGAGAAGATTGGCCTAAAAAACTTGAGAAGATTTGTTTGTTTGCCTTTGAACAGTCAGCTGGTTTAGACAGCAATCTTAATAATGTGCCAGAGTAATACCATGTTGGATTTTAAAAGCAAATCTGGAAACCATCAAGTCCTTGTGTGGTTGAAGAGTAGGAAACAAGAAAAGTTTTGGATGAAAACCAATTAGGTTGTATATACATCTCAGTGCTGATTCTTCAGGACAGGGCTGCTGTCCACTGAAGTATAATGTTATGTTTTTGTAAGATTTCTGGCCACTTCAAATATCCTAGTGGCCTTCTTCAATTGTTATCTATAGCTTACTCAACTTTCTTGTTTACTATCTGTCCATAAACTTTATATTCTTGAGTTTACTGAGCTATTAATATTACGGTTAATTTGTTAGCTCTTCACTGGTCATCACCCGTTTCCATTTGAGACAGATCCACCAGCCCAACTGAGGTTGAATACAATTCTTGATTGATATTGTTGACTACTATGCTTTTAACAGATTTAATGAGATAATATGTACTTTTGGGCCAATTTTTATGTGACTGCAGGTGTTCCCTAGTAATCATTTTCACCCTTCTCTAGGTGGTTATTTTTTATCTTTGATTGTATCTAATTGATCTGTGCTGGTATCTGTTCTCACTGTTTGATTTTATTATGAATAAACACTATGTTTCTTAAATCTTTCCCCCTCGAATTAGGTAAAACAATCCGTAATATTAACTTTTAAGGTAACTGCTACCCTTCTCATCACCACACATTATTATTGATTTTCTTAAGTTGGAAAGACTTCCAATGGTTTGCGTAGTCATCCCTTTTCGCTTTTGCAAAGATTTACAGATTGCAGCTTATCAAGACTGCAAATCAAGAAAAAGCTTTGGTCTTGCAAGTAAGGTTGGTTAATCGTGTAACTCTTGAATCGTTGATTGGAGTGGGCAAGATGAAGTGGCTTTTAGGTAAATAAAAATTTCTTTTTTAGTTTGTGCTTTCTGTTTTTCATTTGGCAAGTATAATTTTTTTCTTTAAATAGAAGTGTAAGACAATATGGACAGGTGGGTTTTTGTCTTCTTGTATATATGCAGCAATAAGATGCAACCAAGTTCTTAAAGGTATGAAATTTTCTATCTTAATCTTTATTTTATTTTATTTACACCACTAATTGAATTTTTTTTATGATCCTGTAGAATGATTAATGACTTTACTTTGAGTTTCCCTTTACATTATCCTTGAAACATGGTATGTAGTGAGTTTTGCCGTTATTTTGTGCTTTTCTGCTATGTTATTGAATTCCTCATGTCTATATGTGAACGCACCATGAAACCAGATACACATAATCATCAATCTTTCCCTTATTATATGATTTAATTTTTACAAGTATCCATGATTACACTGTCGTCTTTTATATAGAGGTCATCGAGACAAAGGACCATCTATATACTTATAATGGTCTTTGTTTCTTATTCCTTATAGAGTTAGTAACGTGATATACACTTTCTGGATCTTTTACATGATTGGCCTTACGTTTGCTGCGAACTCTTTACCATGTTTGATTTCTGTAGTCAACCATTTCTTCAGTTATCTTTCGAAACTGTTCACGTGTGAGCATACTTGATGCTTATAAACCATTAAACTCGTTTAATCTTCGTTCTCTAGTTCATACCTCCAACCACCTTTGCTGTTAACATTTTTACTTTTGTGGGCGATTCTACTTTTTGGGGATCAACAAAGCAGGTTCCAATTTATCCTTTTGCTGTATGGTTTTTTCTTATAAATTGGTTGTTCTCTTTAGTGTATAAGGTTCATACAATCTGATAAAATTCTTACACCATCTTTCGATATAGGCAAATTGCTTAACATGTAAATACTGTGTTCAGCTCTTTTAGTTTTGTACAATTATTATTATTTATTGTCTATTGTAACATTGAAGTTACCTATGAAGCTTTGTCTAGTCTAGGTGGTAATACTCCCGGAAAAGAAGTGAGAACCAAATGGGAAAAAGCGTTATGTTAACAGAGGAGATATGATCATCTTCTTTAGCCATTAGCTTTTCCAAATATTTTCATTGTTAATTCAAAATTCATGTAATTTGCTCGGTAATAATAAATTGAATTTAAGGTCAATTAAACCTAGAGCAATCTAGCCTGATATTCCCATTTTTGCTTGTCTTGACCCCAACCCGACCTAGTTTAGTCATAGCTGTGATGAACGCGTTATTGAAAGCTTGTGCATTGGATGCCCATGTGTTCACGGTCGGTTTTGATCTCGAGTCAGTGAAGAGAACCTGATCAGAAGTAAACAGTCCTTGTCCTTGCTGCAGATTCTTGAAGTACACATTGTCAAAAGTTCTTGGTGTATTGGGGTCCATGTTTATAGCTATCCTCGGGTCAACATTCTTTGGACACTGTTGCTGCAATTGGGTAGCGTAGCTCGGGCTTAGAGTCGGATCCACAGCGTTCTGCTTGCTGAAATTGTATATCCTGTTTGCAAACTGGTCACAGTGGGAAAATCCGAGAGTGTGTGCACCTGAAAATGGCAATTAGCTTAGTGTTTTCCATAACGCATTCTCAATAGAAAACATCTTATGGTAATTTCATAGGAACTTGTTACCTGAGAGAGCAATCATGTCTGATTGGGTTAAGCCATTAGCAGCAAACATGGCGTTAAGCTGATTCAAATTCAAGTTCGGCTTGGGCAGCTTCCCACCCACACTAGCTGCCGTTGAACTCAGCCCATCTAATCTTCCTAGCTCCACCGGATAAGATGGTCCCCCAGCCTGCAAACACCAGTTTACATGTAAGTAAAACTGAGCATTTTTCCAGAATAGGAATGTACCAGGACCAACTGGAGTAAATTGAAACCAAAACCTGCAAAAAGGTAGAACCAAGAATGGAAACAAAAGGGTTCCAGTATTTTCAACTTTCCGCCCAAGACCGAATCATGGACCGAAAAATTAAACCAAACGAGCCCAATATATCCCACCCGGAAGTGGGATGTACACAAACCTGACCTCTGCCCCCAAAGAGTAGAGTGGTTGTTTATGTGAAAACACGTACCTTTCTTTCAAATATTTCGTTTGATACAACATTTAGAGAAATATAATCCCAGTTTTTAATTAGTTTCATGCAGGATGAAACTAAGAACCCAGTTTTCCGGAAAATAGGAACCGGGAACCGTATTTTGCAGATTATCATGCATTAATCGATCATAATACTACTACTATTCAATACTCATTATGTGTCAATATCAATATCCGAGGTATTATTAATGTTTGTACAGTATAAATTTGCAGGAAATAAAATTGTTGATACCATCATGACGACATCTCGGGTGGCCATGGTGAGAATATCGGCACACGACACCTTATTTCTGCAACTAGCAACAGCATCAACCGCAGCTTTCGCTTTGACAACTGTATCAAATCCATCTCCAGCCAACGAAAGATTATCCTGGTGGTCTTTCTCAGCCGTGTTGGATCCACTAGATGCTATCATAACCGAAGCATCACACCCCTATTTTTTAACCACCCCAGAAGCACCACACACATTATACAAACTCGAAGCATATATACACCAACAACGACAAATCAAAATCAACAAACCTGCACAAAGCAATCATGGAAGAACAACCGAAGAGTTCCCGGAATGGTGACGAAAGTTTGTTGAACCTTAGCCCGGACCGCATTTCGAACGATCGTTTCGACATTCGGGCAGATGTTTGCGTAGTAATTCTGTCTGAGTTGAGCAGAAGCAAAGTTTGGGAGGGAGATGAGAAGAATGGAGCAGAGAGCTAGTACTTGAATAACAGCGATCCGACCCATGATCAAGACGTGTATGGTAATTGTGAGATGGAAGGGAAGTTTATTAAATAAAGAAGGCAAATAAGGGCGAAGGCAATTCGAAGTTGTCTTACCTCACTAAGCCAGCTGTTGAGTTTTGGAATATTTTGTTTTTGTGGAAAAAATAATTCATTTTCCATTTTGTTTTTATTCGTTTTTATGGCAGATTTTATATATAAATTCCATCATTTAATAAAAAAGGATCCAAATTGGTGTTCTAACAAAACGTTGAAGAATAGTTAAGTTGGTCACGTGAGTTTTCCACTTGTAAATAGGGATTAAAAGGAGCAAAGTCTTTTATGGATTTGAATTAATTAATTAAGATTGTTTTTTTAGGTTATTTAAATAAATAATTGAGGATTAAAATTTTCATTTAATTATGTTTTAAAAGATTGGAAAAATAATCCCTTTTTAATTGTCTGAAATGGAAGTCAACGAGTAAATACAAATTAAAACTTGTTTTCTTCTGGATTTGAGTTTTTCCGTGTCCCGTCTCGTTAATGGATTCCTGACGTACATAAAGGGATGTAGTTTGTTCGATAAATCCCTACTTCTCTATCGTTACTTGCTGTCTTTGAATCGCAACAAGTATAACAACATTAAAAAAATATCTGAATTTAAAACCGAAACTTAAAGTTCTCTTTTACAGGTAATTTATTAAAATTAAATGGTTAGTACATTTACTTTTTCTTTTTTAAACTATTGAATCTGGGTTGTGATATACTAGTTAAGGTTTATAAATATATAAAAAAAATCTCATCTGTCTCTGAATTTGAATCCAAATATATAAATTGATCTGAATATCATGATTACCGAATAAACTTTTATAAAGTGATTTTTTTTGGAAACGTAAACTTTTATCAAGCACCATTTATAGTATACTTTCTTTGTTTTTTTTAAAGCAAAAACATTATAAAGAGGAAAAAGATACTAGAAATCCTAGTTTCTAATTTATTCATAAAAATAAATAATAAATTAGTCACATTTTAAGTCAATTTCCAAACTAGTTATTCTTTACGTAAATGTTTTATGCATTTAACGTAAACCATATTTTTCAAACAAAAAGCAAAGAAAAAAAAATAGGTATTTACATAAAAAGTACGAATTAGCGGAAAGATTTACGCATTTACATAAAAAAATTACGTATTTAAAAACTGACATAAAAATGCTACTCAAAAGTGATGGAGTTAACTTTTTATAAAGCAATAATGAAATGAGTGGTCCAACACTTTAAACAAGGGGCGTTTCGTTTATTCTTTGAGTGTTCGGATAAGTCGTGCTATCGTTTTCGAAAATCCATATGCAAACATCTCAGACCAAGTCAACCCAGGTTTCCGGCTTCATGGCCGCCCTCCTTTTGTTCTCAACCCCTTGGATTTATAAACATAAATATCACTAATTGATTCCTTAATAATCTAAGTTTTTTCTTTAATACCGTATCTAAACATTTTTAATTTTTATTAAAATAATTTATGGGTGGATTAATTATGGTCCCTAAGTTTTTTTCCCCTCTATTACTGTGTACATACGTGTCAATCAATATATATATATATATATATATATATATATATATATATTTAGGATTACAAAACTATATTTGTTTTTTCATATATTATGACTCCTTATTTAGTGTTGAGTGCTTGAATCTTAAATAATCTCATATCTCTAAAATAAGAATAATATCTATAGGTATGACCAACATGTACTGCTTTCGATTCTAATATTTGATGGTTTCAAAAAAGTTTGTTTTAATTCTAAAAATTTAAAATGGTAACAAAAAACATTAACATGAGGTGAACAGAAATCTAACTGATTTATATGATACATAGTGTTATTCTAAATAGTCAACATTGTTACCTCAAATGATGTCAATTTATATATTTAAGGTTTATCATAAGATGTTTTTTTACGGTGAAACAGATTAGCGATGCTGTACAAAAATGATATAACAGGTAATGTTAATTTAGAAATAATTATTGGTTGATTTTGCATCTAGGAATATTCAGAAGAATAATTTTATACGAATTATTAGTATTTCTTGAATTCAATATTTTTCTTGATTAAAAAACAATATATTAAAGTTTTTTTGTACATATCGAGGGCTCTTGTTCACATTCCACCAAAAGGCCTATAAAATATCAGGAACATGTCTGGTAAAATCTTTTACTATGTATTAACTAACAGTACTTGACACCAACCAACCAACTGATATTGATATCAATTAAACAGTACAGTTAACACACTTTTGTAGAATTTACAGATAAATACAACGATGTCTTTATTTAAAAAAAGTAATTTCTACCAAATATATATAAAAAAAATATGTAAGAGGCGTATCATATATGCATAGACCAAGACCTCATACAAGCTGTAGTTAAATAATTGAATGATATGTATTAAATGATTTAGAAAATGAAGGGTTGGTGTTTAGTCGTTTTTGGAATGAATTATCCCTTTTATATTATGTGAATATTCGTATACGAAATTAATTTATTTTGCTTTTAAATCTTCCATTGGTTACCTTTTTTTTAGAAATATAAACAAATTATCAAAATATGTTTTTTAACGGAATTTGTACATGACGTGATAGACGTTGCCATGTTAAATCAAGAGATGGTCGTGTTTTTTAAGTATATAATAAAGTGAGGGTCATGTTGTCATACCTAAAGGTGTAAATGATATGAGCCGATTTCGAGTATTGATATACTCGACTCGAACTCGATGGCCATTACTTGAACTTGATTCGAAAACTCGTGAGTAGTTAAAAACTAAATTCGACTAGAATTCGGTTGTAGTTTTTTAAACTCGAACCTGAGTTCGAACTCGTTTGAAGTTAGGATTAATCTCAAAATCCAACTTGAATCAAGCTCGAACTCGAATCAAACTTGACTCAAGTTGAACTCGTTTGAAGCTCGGACTCGAATCAAGTTCGCCCGTTGAAATTTATGAAATTTTAAGGTTTTCTTCTATAAATAAAACTTAAAAGGTGCTTTTGAACTTTATAAAACTCAAGAATGCACCTCAAATTTCTCATCGAAATGACAAAGTTATAAACTCGATACACCGACCATCATTTTGTAAGACCTCTTCACCTTTCCTTTACTATCTCTCTTCCAATGTGGAAAACTTCACCAATACTTTTATAGTTTTTTTTTTGTCTTTTTTAAATTATGATTTTTAATTAAAAAGTAATTGATTAATTTTTATAGCTAAAAAATGTACAATTTTATTCAAATATCTAAAAATATGCAACATTTTTCTTTTTATTAGAAAGTATATTAATAAAGTTTTACATTATATTTTACAAAATATGTTATAAAACTAATTATACATAAAAATCGAATATCTCACAAGCTTGTCATGCTTGAGTACGAGCCAAACCTATTTGAGTCAAATGTTGACTAAGCTTTGAGCGAGTTGATCTCAAGTAGCTTGTGAGTTGTCCCACATCATTACAGCCCTAGTCACACCGTTTTTCTACATGGGTTATGACATCATAATTATCGCACGAATCACCAAATTACATACATAAACTCGACCATATATAGGGAGAAACAACATACAACTTAAACTGGAACAAACAAATAACCTCGTAACTTTAGCTGAAGTCTAGCGACCATCTTGTTAACTCTTGCCTTTCCTGTCTCTGAGGTGTATGTTACTAGACACCTACGAAGCATAACGAGTTCATGGTTTTACATACAAACAACATATACCCTTAAACATGGAAACACAGAAGTTTGAGAACATGCTAACTGGTTTTTGTGAACAACATATCATAGCTCATCACCTATAAAATGCAAATACATATCAAGTTTGCTTTCGATCTACCGTGGGCTATGAAAGCTTAAGTTCGTTTTCAATCTAGCATAGGTTGTGTGACCTTGTATGCAACCTCCATGTTCACCTCGGTTGTACATCTGTTTTCATCTTCACAATGTTGAGTGCAAGTTCACCGAACTCATCTCCAGTGCCCTGAAGGTCAAATTTGCAACCCAAGGGCATAACCAAGCCATTCCAAGCAATCCTTACACCACAATTTCTCATGTTTATTGCATATAAACGCTCTAAATACCAATTCTACATTTGCAATTAAACATCAGTTCAACTAACGGTATGTGCGTTAATTTGTTGATCTCATTTTTTATTTTCAAAGCAACGTTTTTACATCAATCTTCTTTAGCTTGATTGACTTAATGTCTGCTCATTAACTCATTCATGTATCAAACACTAGTATAACTCCGCATGTGATTGAATCAAAATAAAACCGATGATGTAGCATAGAAATCGTACTGAATCGCAACAATCAACTATATGAACTTGAATCAATTTCGGAAGAGTATTTGTGAGATCAATTACGGTTCTTAATTTTTTATTATTTTATATTGTCAAAATTTATTTTTAAATATTTGAATATTTGTTAAAACTTCTCTTTCAATAATTACCAATTAATGTTGCATCATTCTATGGAAACAACTATTATTTATTAACAATGATGTCATAATATAAATATAAAAGTGTCCAACACGTTATTTATTCAACATGGCATGGCATGTTACATATATGAGATTCCACTAGATTACGAATTACACGAATATTTGGTTTGTATAATATTTTTAAAATACTATAGTTTTATCAAATGAGGTGAAATTTGAATGATTAAAAATGATGTTGAATCTTACTCATCCATACTACATGTGTTTGGTTAAAATAGAATCCAGTTTCATTCATTTTTACTTTTTAGACTGTTTGAAAAAATATAGTTTGAAAATCTGATAAAATGTAATTTCTTTAATTTACCAATCAAATAGATTAACGGATTTAATATATATATATCTATATTGTATTATAAAGCATTTGATAAAAATTCTTAAAAACTTTTTCTTTATGCAAGAAGTACTGTGTTTTAATGCATATTACTTAAATTTTAAGATTACAAGTAAATTGTGCATAAGTACAACTTATTAAAGCTCCATTTTTGAATTCATGTAACTAACTACAGATAAACATAATCA